TTACAGTTCAGCTCTTCAACGCACCCATTATTCATGATATAATAGCACACAGGCTTGTGCGCTGCCATCTCTGCTTCAGTGTAAGCATCCAAATTTTCGACCTCTGTAATTTGGTTGAAGTCCCTAGGCATTACAGACAACATATTGACTAGGATCTCCAAAGAAGCATCAGACTCAGAGTCGAAGTTATCTGTCATTTTTTCATCATCCTCGATAGTCTTTTCATGTTTATCCTCTTGAGAGGGAAAAAATTTCCGCCCACGGGCAATTTTTCGACAAAATTCCCTCTATTATTATCAGTATGGGCATTAGTACTCGACTCTCCTTGGTCCTCCGAATGGGCCTCCCTGAGAGCCTTCCTTTTATGATGTTCTCTCCTTTATTAAGATCGCGACATCAGATTCTTCCCTTTATAGTTCTCAAAAACGTGAGCAGTTTTAGAGGATTGAAACTCCTTGTGATAGGTGATCGAAGAGCCTCTGTTGACGTCGAAGTTTTTCCATTTTTGCTGACACTTCTGCCTGTCCTCATTTGGTTTGACCCATTTGCCATTAGAAAGTTTAGTAAATGGCTTAAAGGTAGCCGACCTTGCTCCTGGTGCTCTAGCCTTCGACTCAGACCTTCTTGGGTCGAATCTTCGGGGGCCATGGTTGGCCTTCTCTCACTTATGCTCAGCCTTTCGTACCTCTTCAAGCTTCTAAGTAGCCTTTTGATCAAAGATTGCACTGCATCTGGGGCATAGCATGACACCTGATCCCTTCTTTTGGCAGTGATGAAGGAATTCAACAATGGTCTCTTCTTGTTTTAGATATGCCACTTTGTTGTGCTCTTCCTGACATCTTGCTTCATCGACCTCTATGGTCTTATGTTATGTAATCTCGACCATATTTATGTCCATGTCTACATCAACACTAAGATTCAGATTGTAGAAGTCTACACCAAGGCTTTCAGCAGCCCTATCCATCTTAACGAAACTATCTGCGGTCTCCTTGGTAACCAACACCATGCTAGAATTCTCAGTGACCCCATCACCCAACCCATCAGTAACTTTGTCGAAGCCATCAGCGACCTCACTCATGAGTTATTCCATGGCATTGATGTCAAGGTCTACAGTAACCTTGGCTAACACACATCATTGGCGAAATCTTCAGTAATTTCCATCATATTAATTGAACAATCGAAGTCATCAGCAACTTCAACCATATGTACTTTTGTGGGCTCAGTATAATTGGCATCCACTGTTTGCAATGGGTCAGAGTCAATTTTCATTTGATTGTTGTTGTTTTCTACAAACTTTGGCCTGCCCTCCTGGATAGCATTTTGAACCAAGTCCCTGGAAAAAAAACACTGAAAAGTTTTATGACCCAAATAATTATGGTACTTACAAAATTATTTCTTTTTTATTTGTTCTAAAGGTGACATTTTAGCACCAGCAGGCACTATCATTTGTCCATCTTTAACTAACAAATCAAAGATTTTGTCACATTTAGTGATATCGAAAGTATATGTTTTCTTTGGAAACTTGTCATTCTTTTCAGATTCAACAACACTTTTTCCATTCGAAGGAGCTAACATTTTACAAGCATATGGAGGACCCTGCTTTAATTCGGCAACATCTATCTCGTTTTCGTCGGAGTACAACGGTTCATTATGTGAACCTTCGACACCCTCATTATATTCAACATAGGCTACCTTTTTACTTTTATTAAACTTAGCCTTTTCGTCTTTCAGACGTTCTAACTGTCAAACCCTATCAGCTAGTTGGACCAGATCTCTTAGATGCTGGGTATCCAACTTCTTTCTATTAGAGTAATCAAGGCCACCAACGGCCATTTCGACCAACTCATGTTCTGGAACTTGAGTAAAACACCTAGCCTTAAGTAACCGAAACCTATTTAGGTAATAATCTATTAGCTCAGTCAACTTTCGTTTTATTTTAGCCAATTCCTTCAAACTAATTATGGTTTGTCCCATGTAAAATTGCTCATGGAATAAAAGTTCCAACTGGGTCCAATTACAGATTGAGTTAGGAGGTAGGGTTGTAAACCAAGTAAAAGCATTTTTAGTGAGAGAACTTGAAAAATATTTTATCCTAAGACTTTCGTCATTTGAAATCTCCCCAGCCTCGATCATATATTGGGCTACATGTTCAACAGTAGATTCAATAGTATCTCCTGAAAATTTGGTAAACTTTGGTATCTTCATCCTAGGAGGTAATTCTGATTGGAGAATGTAGTCTACTATTGGTGATGTATAGTTTGGCCTAGTAAAGCCAAAATTTACCCCATTTTTAGGCCATTATCCTTTCGACTATGGCTGCTAAGTTATTATCGACAACTATGTTATTACGTCAAACCTGTTGTATAATATAGTCAACATCTTGGTTTCAATTTACCATAATTACCTCTTGTTCCCTCTCTACCGGAATTGGCACTTGGTTCCTAGGTGGTTCAACTCTAGGAGGTTCGAGTCTAAGGGGTGCGACTATCCCCTAATTTTCTAGATTCGCCTCAAGTACGTTCCGTAGTTTCCTTCGTGGAATATTTTCCACAACAGTTGTGCCTCGAACAGGGGCTGGTACACCCATAAATGCTGCAAAGCGTGCCAATTGCACTGCTAATTGTTGGTTAGTCTGGGTAGTGTTCTGGATCAAGGGCTGGAAAATCTTCCCCATAGTCTGGGACAAGGTTTGTACCATTTGTAGGTTACTCTCATCCATTTGTTGTCTTAAATATGCTATAGAAGTATTTGTCTGATTAGGACCTTGAGTGGAATACCCCACACCTACACTTTGAGTGTTTCGACCCACATTTATCCTAGATCCTGACCCTTGTAATGGCGAAGCCATTACATTCTCTGAGAATACTGGGGGAGCATTTTGGAGGCCTTGGATTACTGACATTGGCATTCCATATGGTGGATTCCTTGGTAATGGTTGTGAAACCCCTGGAAGGGGAAAATGCCTAAACATCGAAGTTCCTCCTGGTGGAGTTTGGGGATTAGACGCTTGTGGCCCAATGTACTCCAAAATAGGTTGAGTGTAAGCCCTTATATCTGTTGACTCTGAACCTACCACTGATGGTATTGGTTCAGACATAACAGGAGGTGGTATTGGCTCTCCTGTCGAAAGAATTGGGGGGGACACTTCATCGTTCCTAGACACGTTTTGAGGGTTAGTATTACTAGGCTGACTATTTGAATTACTTGATTGAAGATTAGAACCACTCCCTCGAGGGATCAGATTGTTTGGCTGATTAGTATTTGTCGCCATTTTTCTAGTGTAGCTTCTCCTTGGTCTCTCTTCGTTTGTAGTGGATACTTTTCCACTTCTTAATAACATGCAACAAAGTTTTCTCAAAGAAAAGACTAATAAATACAGATTTTAAAAATCTTAGAAAAAATCTTCATAAAATTTTGCACTGTCCCACTGGGCGTGCCAATTTGTTTCCCGTGAAAATTAGAAAGCAACCATTGATCTTCCAAATCAAACTTTGGTGACTCACAGGATCGATCAGATTGATCCTAGGACATGTGCTAAATATTGATTCAAAGTAAATTCTAAAGACTAAACACTTCGACAATGATCATAAAGAAAAGTTTATTTAAAAGTATGGTTCGAAAGGAACACAAGAACATTAAATCGAAAGAAGGGATGAAGACGTTAAAGAAACGTTAAAAGAGATAAGACATAATGCTGAAATATAACTTGCAAGAAAGTAAAAAGATAAACTCTTTTAATGAAAAGTTAAAGTAAATTTCAATAAAGAAGAAAATGGTGTTTCACATCACGTACATTCTCCCAAGACTCTTTTCTCTACACATGGATACTTTGAGTAAATTTGGAGTAACTTGTACAAAGTGAACACAACACCCTTAATCCTATTGCTAGAATTCCTATTTAATAAAACTAACTGATGTTAACTTCCTAAGACAATTAGCATCTGACAAGTGTTGCGCTGCATGCTTCTGTCTCTTGGATGTGTGCCACTTGTCTTACTATGGGCGTCGAATTACTGAGCTAACACAGTCATAGAGCTAGAAGCATTAGTATTGCCGAACATGCTGAACCGATGATAATTATTTTTTCATCTAACTAATTTTTTTAAAATTATATTCTTATTTGTTATATATTTTTACTTGAAGTTCATTGTATTAATTATATTAATGTTAGAGGAACCTCATTAATGCAAGAGCTTCATGAGAGGACTTATAGGGGGGAGATGGAGAGTATGACAGCGAACGTGCTAAAAAGGCTCAGGTAAAAATATATTAATATTTCAATATTTTATTTAATTATTTCATTTTAATAAATTGTATAAACTCTATTATTTAATTTAATTTTTTACGTACGTGTAGGAGGTGTACCGTAAACGGAAGGAAGAATTTTTATCTCAACATCCTGAGTTAGGTGGTCCAAGGGGCCAACATCCTTTGGATCCAGCAGTTGATTTTTTAGAAAATTTTACCTCATACCCCTACAATTATACCTATATCCCTACACTAAAATTATTTAGACCAAAATACTCTTATATAAATAGTTATAATTTTAGAAATTCTACTTTCCTATTTCATTTCTGTCTGAAGTCTTCCGAGAGAACGTTTTTGTTGTTGTATACTGGAACTCTTATCATAAGTCTTTCGGTTCATAAAGTGTATAAAGGAGATGTTAGAGTAAGTCTTCCGGTTGTGTTTTCGTATCGGAAGACATTGAAGAAGTCTTCCAGTATTCTGGTTTTTTGAGTTTACTTACCGGAAGTGTTAATGCAAGTCTTACGGTATTCTGCTTTTTTTCGTTTATTTACAGGAAGTGTTAATGCAAGTCTTTTGGTTTGTTTAAGTTAAGATTCATTCTAGAACTCATTGCTGAAGTGTTCTAGTTTGGTTTTTTTAATACTTTTTTTTTATAATTTTTTTATGTTCTTATTTTGGCAGTGGTGCGCACACGAGGCAAGGACGGTAGGATCCTTGATCGCGGTCTAGGACGGAGAGAATCATCAAGAATGACTGAGGAAGAGCATACTGGTGCATCTGCATTAGCAACACAAACTGTTGGATATCCAGAAGGACTGTACGATACCTCTCTTTTGGTTAAGTACGAACATCATATGGCTAAACATATACGGTTCGGTGAGGTAAGTAAATGACAATTATTTGATATTGAATAAAATCTGAATTTTTAATGTTGTCTTTTATAATATATTTACTTTTAATTGTTTTCAGGAGAGAGGTACGAAGAAAGAGTTGAAGGTAGTAGGACAAGGGTTGAAGCTGATTAAGAGGGTTCTACTGCAGCTTCCTAGAAAGATGGAGGCTTGGGTATCTAGGTCTGGTCTATCTTCACTCCAGAGAACCAATTTGACGAAGATAGATATGAACCTGGTTTCCGCATTTGCAGAGAGATGACATCTAGAGACATCTTCATTTCACATGTCGTTTGGTGAGATGACGATTACTCTAGATGACATCTCTTGTCTGCTTCGCTTTCCCATCAGAGGAGTCTTCTGGAGCCCTCAAGATATCAGTGAAGGGCTTGCTGTTGAGTGGTTTGTTGATTACTTAGGAGTATCATAGTGAGTGGCACAACAACAAGTCCGTGACTGCAGGGTTTCTTACTATAATTTGGAATGGTTATACGACTGATTCGTAGAGCATAGAGCTACTTCTAGATGGGCATATGCGACTAAAGCTTATTTGTTGATGTTAGTGGGTTCCATGATTTTTACGGACAAAACCTTTACGCTTGTCGAGGAACGATACCTCTCACTATTTATGGACTTAGAGGGCTTATTAGGATACAATTGGGGAGAAGCTGCGTTGGTTGCCCTTTATAGATATCTTGGATATGCTTCCATGTTCAGGTATAAGCAGCTCAATGGTTATCCGACTCTCCTACAGGTATTTATTTTAATTTAGTTTATTTTGTTTTAATTAATTTTATTTAGTATATTAATTTTATTTATCTAATTTATTATGTTATAATTAATTATTTTAAATTAACTAATAGTATTAGTTTTGTAACAGTGCTGGATTCATGAGTATTTTCCAACACTTGAAAAAAAAAAGAGAATTGGATACCAGCTAATAATGTTGGTCTCCCTCGAGCGATGAGATGGTCATATAGGCAAGGTGTACTGAAGGTGGATGATTTGCGACCTATTTTGGACGAGATGACACCTGCCGATGTCATATGGCGCCCATTTGAGGATCATAAAGTATGGCGTTAGTTTGATGAGTTATATCTATACAGGGGGTGTCTGAGGTGGGCTGACACTATTGTTCCATACTTGTCTGACAAATGTATGCGTCAGTTTGGATACAGGTATTATGTTCCACCTCCACCTCTTGTTATATGATGGTTGGTGATATTGATGTTGAGTGGATTAGTTACCATCAGAGCATTGGGATGTGATTCATCGCACAACACTGGCCACCACCCCATCTAAGACAGATGATGGATATCTTCAGTGGTATTATCGTGTTTCGCATCCTCATCTGATACTGCCCCATCGTGATGCGCCAAGAGAGGTGCCAGTTCCTGTTTACAATGTAGGACTGTCTGATCCTAGCTAAGCTCGTGTTTTTTTCAGTGATTCATCGTTATCTTCAACAGGCTGGTGCTGAAGAGGATGATCCACAGTTTGTTGAGTTGTTCGAAGCTTTATGTATTGCTCATTCACATTGACTTATATTTATGTTTATTTTTATGTTTTAACTTTTAGACTCATATACTTATGTTTATGTTTATGTATTAACTTTTAGACTCACTTCACCTAGTTGGGTTATGTTTATGTGTTAGCTTGTAAACTTATGTTTAGTTTTGAATCCAGTTATGTGTTATTGAAATTAAAAATGAATAACATAATTCATAATTTGTGTTTTGAAATTAAAAATGAATAACATAATTTATAATTCATAATGCGTTGGTAATATAGGCGTAAGTTGTTACCAATATTGTAGATGTCCTGCAAATCCTAGCATCCAAGATGTTGCTGCTGGAGAATGAAACTTCTTCCAATCTAATGTCATTGGTAGCAATGGAAACCCTTCTTTCATGTTTACCTGAATAAGAAAAATAATCAAAACGTTAAGTAAAAATAACTAAGAAATTAGGTTAGTCACATTAACTAAATATAAATAAGTAAAAATAACTAAGTACTTAAACCCAATGATTTGTGTTTACAAAACCAATGTAGTAAAAGGATACATTTGGTGAAAATGAAGTTGTCATAGGGAAGAAAGTCCAGCATTCAAATCCTAAACAGACAAGTACAACATTATAATGATTCGCTATCAAGTAACCCATATCTGGTAGAGTCAACCATTTCTATGGTGGTTGAGGACCAAATGCCTCTCTATCATCAAAGATTCTCTCACTTCTACTAACCGATCAGCAAATGAACTGACATATAAACTTGATCTTTCATTATGAATGATTTTCAACCCCAAGTCTTAACGAACCATTGGCCAATCATCTTCACCATATCCATGCAATGAAGCAAAGAATCTAAATCCACAATTACCATCTGATATAACATTAACTACATCATCAATATATGACCTATTGTGATTAGGAAACTGAAGGATGAATTGCTTAGATGACTGTGAAGATTGTGATAATTTCAACTTCTTCAAAGCATGTAATGATTGAGATTTCTTCTGTGAAGATTGTGGTAATTTCAACTTCTTCGAAGTCTGTGATGGTTGAGATTGCCTCTGTGAAGATTGAGATGCTTGATCAACATACTCATGATACGAAGGGTCCCTATAAACATCATACCCTACTAGTTTTTTAACTTTCTTCTTGACTCCCTCTTTGGTTTTTATTTTCTCAGGTGGTGGACACAAAGAAGTCATTGTGGGGAAGGTAAGTTCAAAAATCCTACTTTTTAATGCTTTTTTCCTAACAACATCTAGTGACCTAAACCTTTTTCATAACTCATATATTGCACTACTCATATCCACCTCTGATCCATCATCTACGTCTTCTCTAACTTAACTTCCATACTTAGTTTCCTCCAATGAACATGCTCAACATCTATTGGTATCAGTATACCACCAATTCTATATCCTGTCAACTCACAAGCACAAGGTAATCCATAGGTTATTCTAAGAGTACAACGGCATATTTCCTTGTTAGTTCCAACATAGTCAACTCGTGTTAACTCTTTAGCAATTCGTCTCAATGCAGCTTGAGACACCGAACCACGTAAATTATTATAAAATGGACTTACGTGGGCGTGCTCAACTTCATAAAAACTCTTTTGAAAAGAAGCTCTAATCTTGCCCAGCTTTAACTTGAAGTTGTCATTCATAGCCTCCCAACATTTGACCATGTCACCAATACTGTTCCCCAACATCTGTTTGACTTCCAATGAGCAGACTCAACCCTAAAAATAATACATATTAGAAATGCTTAAAAAATACAAAAAAAATACAATTTAGAAATGCTAAAAATAAATACATATCGATTAGTCGTGGTGTTACCCAAATGTAGTACTCGATTAATCCATGCTCCAACAAATCTTTGTCTATGTGGTGTCAACCATATGTCCATCACATAATTAATAATTTCATTACAATTAACGCACGCATGCTCAAGTTGGTTCAACCTTTGATCATACTCAATCTCATCACTAGCCCATACAACTTTCGTCCATAAGTCCTCGATCGTCTTTTGCATGTCACTAACCACATGTTGCTTGCATTTTGCACCTACATTTTTGTTAATGTGAAATCGACATAGCAAATTGATCGACCTTGGAAACACAGTTTCAATGGATTTCATCAAAGCAAGATCTCTATCTGTAACAATCACTTGTGAACACAAATCTTTCTTCACAAACAATTCTTTAAGCTTATCTAACACCCAACAAAAAGTCTCAATCTGCTCAGACTCAATATATGCAAATGCGACAGCAAAAGTCAACTCGGTTGATGTCATGCCAATAATTTCAAACAGAGGTTGCCTATATTTATTTGTCTTGTAAGTGTTGTCCATAACTAACAAAATAGGAAAATATTTTACAACTTAATTGAATCTGGATGAGCCCAAAATATATCTCTAATACCTTCAGAGTCATCTTTTTTTCTACTCTAATAAACATAACTTGCACTCTTAATAAGCTCAAACAAATGTTGTATCTCACTTCTAGGACTTCTTATCTATTTTTCTCATACTCTTCTGCTTGTATATTTGTGTGATCCGAGTGAGATTCTCTGGATCTTGATCTTGCATGGAAAGCAATATATGTCTGTCTAGGTGGAACCTTTTTCTTTGTCAAATCAACAATATGTTGCTTCTGATCCGCTGTCAACCTACCAACAAAGGAGTGACTTTCTAATCTATCTCCACATTTACATCAACTTACCATCCAGACCCATCTTTCGTCGGAGTCGACCTGATTTTAAACGGACATCCACATTTTTTTGTTGCACTTTGGGTACCACTATTAGTATCCTTGTGTTTCCCACCTTTATCACAATCAAATACTAATTTGTTACTTTTTCCTCTCTTGCCTATTTCATTATCTGAGCGAGTGATGATAACTGTTACTTTATTTCGGATTCCCATCTCTTCCATCTTATGACCTCTTCTCGTGTATCAAATCTTTGAGTAGTTGAAAAAACATCAGGCGTATCTACACATATCTGGTCTTTATCACATATTTGCGGAAGAATTTCTGTACCTGCAGAATAAAAAACAATTAAACAAAATCACCCTTACAAAAACAAACCAGAAGTCTTATGAAAAGAGTTCTGGTACACAAAGTCACCAAACCGGAACTCTTAGGAAAAGTGTTCTGGTACACATTATGACCAAACCGGAAAACATGACAGAAAGTGTTCTGGAAGAGTCATAAGTATGTCTCAGAACCGGAAGTCTTTTTATAACACATGTGGTATATGTTTTGTAATGAACCGGAACTCTTAGTCAAAGTCTTTCAGAGTGAAAAAGTACATACTAGAAGTCATTTCAAAAGTATTCCGAAATGATATTGATGGGGTGAATTTTTCGGAACTTTGACAGTCTGACAGGACCAGTAAAAAATAAACAAATAAAATAATAAAAAATAAACAGGGATAAAATTGACATTTTTTTAAAATGTAGGAGTATGGGATAAAATTTTTTGCTTTTTATCTTTGGCTGGAATCATCTGGTGGAAAGAATAAAAATGGAAAAGTTTATGCAACTAGACCTTTAGCCTCCAACTATATAAAAGGAGATAATATGTCTTTATTTAGGAGAATTGCAGACGGGGAAGGGTTGTCACGTCCTCCGACATTAACCTCTCAAATGGCTGAAATAATTAGACAGTTAGCTCAAAGTGAAGCAGCATGTGAAGCTGCAAAAATGTTGAAATGGAAGAACTAAGAAAAGACAATTTAAGTTGGAAGAAGCATTGAGACATTTTTTTATTATATTAATTACATTTTGCGTTGTGTTTTTCATTTAGCAAATATAAATGTTGCTGGGTGTTTTTTACCCTGCAAATACACAACATTGCATGATGTTTTTCACCCAGCAAACAAATGTCACGTTATATCATTTATGTTGCCTAATCCAACTGCTATGTGCTGCTCTAATATCTGAAAAATGAGTTGCGGCGTGATATTCACTTAGCAACGTTACAACGTGTTTTTCAGTTAACAACAATTTATGACTAACGTTGTTGCAGAATATTTAGTCTACCCTACGATAATTCAGTTGCAGGGTTCTGTTTGCACTTGCTAGGTGATATTGAGTCTTTTTTAATGGAGTTTTAAGAAAGTAAAAATCGTTTTCGACCCACTTTTATACCATGTTTATATTAGTAATAATTCATATTTTATTATATTACTTTCTTAAGCCCATAAGTTTGTTAGAGGGTATTTTAGTATTTTATCTTATTCTAGTAACCCTAGTTTTAGCTTATAAATAGGGTGACAATCATTGTAACTTTTAATCCTATTTTTCTGCCGTCATTCTTAATAGAATATTTCTACCTTTCATCATTTATTCTACCTTTGCACCAACAATTGGTATCTAGAGCTCCGGTTCAGATTCATTGGGAAACACGGGAAACACGAGTGAACGTGAGGTCTTGTGTGTTTGATTTTGATTCTTAGATTCGTGTTGAATCTTGAACAAAATCTGATCAGAATTTTATTCTGTGGGTTGGGAAACACTGTGTGAGAAATCTGAGTGTATTGTGCAAGGTAGAAGATGAACGGAAACGGAAACATGAACACCAAACTTCCAGTATTTGATGGTAAAAACTGGAATCGTTGGATGATCCAAATGCGTGTACTATTTGGTGCTCAAGATGTTCTAGATCTTGTCACTGATGGTTATGTTCCAGTAGCAGCAGATGCAACGGATGAACAGAAAAACGCGCAGAAGGAAGTAAGGAAGAAGGATCAGAAAGCATTATTCTTTATTCATCAATGTGTGGATGTAAATGTGTTTGAGAAGATTGCAGATTCAACAACAGCAAAGGCTGCGTGGGACACACTGGTGAGATGTTATGGTGGTGACGCATCAGTGAAGAAGGTGAAGCTTCAGTCCTTGAGAAAGCAATATGAGAATCTCAACATGAAGAATAATGAGAAAGTTTCTGAATACATCTCCAGAGTGATTCTGATCACTAATGAGATGAAGGCGTGTGGAGAAACTCTTTCTGAAGAAACAATCATGGAGAAGGTATTGAGATCCCTTACTCCTCAATTTGATTACATTGTGGTAGCAATAGAACATTCCAAAGATATGAGTACCATGAGAATTGAAGAGCTGCAGAGCAGTTTAGAAGCGCAAGAGTTGCGTTTGACTGAGAGAACTTCTGAAAGGGAAGTAGAGCAGCAGGCTCTGAAAGCAACTTCTGATAGGAGGTATCAGAAGCAGTCAGAAGCCAGGAGAAGATCTGATGGTGGTCAGAAGTCAGAAAGCTCAACCTCTGATAGACAAAAGAATGCTCAGAAGGGAAAAGAGAAGTATGACAAGAAGAAGATCCAATGTTACTGTTGTAAGAAGTTTGGTCACTTTGCTAGAGATTGTTGGTCAAACAAGGAGAAGAAATCAGAAGAAGCAAATATAGCCAGAAGTTCTGATGACGAATTTGTGCTATTGATGGCCTCTGATTCTGATGATCTGACAGATTGGTGGTATATGGACACTGGCTGTTCAAATCATCTTACTGGAAACAAGAAATGGTTGGTTGACTTTGACTCTGAAAAGAGGACAAAGATCAGATGTGCTGATGACAAATATCTTAATGCAGAAGGTATGGGAAATGTCAGAGTGACTCTGAACAATGGGAAAACAGCATTGATTCAGAACGTGTGGTATGTACCTGGCATCAGAAGCAATCTGATGAGTGTGGGACAATTAATTGAGAAAGGTTTTTCAGTTACCATGAAGGATAATCTTCTGAAGCTGTATGACTGCAATCAGAAGTTGATTATGGAGTCAGAACAGGGAAGGAATAGAACATTCAAGGTGAATGTCAGAACTGCAGACTCAGAATGTCTTAGTGCAACATGTGCTGAGAAGGAGAGTGAGTTGTGGCACAGAAGATTTGGTCATTTGAATTTCAGAAGCCTAAAACATCTGAATTCAAAGAAGCTGGTACATGGAATTCCTGCAATTAAGAAGCCTGAGAAGTCATGCAAAGTTTGCATGGAAGGAAAACAACCACGTTTGCCATTTGCGTCAGAAGTTGCTCCAAGAGCAAAACTTGCCTTGGGAGTTGTACATTCTGATGTGTGTGGTCCATTTCCAGTAGCATCAATTGGAGGGAATAAATACTTTGTGTTATTTGTTGATGAATTCACAAGAATGACATGGGTATCCCTTATTAAGTTCAAACACGAGGTGTTTGATGAGTTCAAGAAATTCAGAATGAAGGCTGAGAATCAGAGTGGTCAGAAGTTGAAGATTCTTAGAACTGATGGTGGAGGTGAGTATAACTCCAAAGAGTTCCAGAAGTTCTGTGAGGAGAATGGAATTGAGCATGAGGTTATTGCTCCTTATACCCCTCAACACAATGGTCTTGCTGAAAGAAGAAACCGTACTTTGCTTGATATGGTGAGAAGCATGCTAAAGGAGAAGAAGCTTCCTCAGAAGCTCTGGGGAGAAGCTGTTGCCACTGCAACGTATGTACTCAACAGATGTCCTACGAAGAAGTTGAAGGAAATAGTTCCTATGCATAAGTGGACTGGAGACAAGCAAAGTGTTAGTCATCGGAAGGTGTTTGGTTCTGTTTGCTATAAACATGTTCCAGAAGCCAGAAGACAGAAGCTGGATGATAGAAGCAAAGTGATGATTCTGATAGGGTACCACAGTACATGTGCATACAAGCTCTATTGTCCAGAAACCAACAAAATTGAATTCAGCAGAGATGTGATTGTGAAGGAATCAGAAGTTTGGAATTGGGATAAGTCTCAATCTGATTCTGATGTTAGAACTTCTGAAGAAAGGTCAGAGTTAAGAATTTCTGAAGTTGAAGTAAACTCTGACGTTGATTCTGACTCTGATAGTGATTTTGACTCTGGAGAAGACTCAGAAGATGAAGGTGACTCTGATGATCCAGACTCTGATGGTAATCCAGATTCTGGTGGAAATTCAGACTCTGAAGATGGCCAAGGCTCTGGAGGAAGTCAAGCCTCTGAAGCTAGAAATTCTGAAGTTCAAGACTCTGGAAATATGCCAGATCCTGAAGTTGGTCAAAGCTCTGGAGAAAGTCAATCATCTGAAGCCCAAGACTCTGAACAAGTTCAGAGACCACAAAGAATCAGAAGCGTTCCCAGAAGATTTGCATTATTTGACATGCTGCAAGACACTGAAGTAGACTCTGAAGGAGAAGTTATTCAGTGTGCCATGTTAGTAGACTCTGAACCCATAAGTACAGAAGAGGCTCTTAAACAGAAGCTCTCGCTGAAGGCCATGAAAGAAGAACTTGATGCTATAGAGAGAAACAAGACTTGGAAGCTGACAGAACTTCCAAAAGACAAGAAAGCCATCAGCGTCAGATGGGTTTTCAAGCAGAAGTTAAAGCCAGATGGCTCAATTGGCAAACATAAAGCAAGGTTGGTAGCCAGAGGATTTCTACAAAAACCTGGGCTGGATTACTCTGAAGTGTTTGCACCTGTAGCAAGACATGAAACAATCAGAATGGTGATTGCAATAGCTGCTAACAGGAATTGGCCTCTGATGCATTTAGATGTAAAATATGCATTTCTGAACGGTCCATTAGAAGAAGAAGTTTACGTGTCACAACCTCCTGGATTTGTGAAAAAGAATCAGGAAGGGATGGTGTACAAATTATACAAAGCTCTATATGGATTGAAACAAGCGCCCAGAGCTTGGAATCAGAAGATTGATTCATTTTTCAAGAAGCAAGGTTTTCAGAAATGTGAGATGGAGTACGGTGTCTATGTTCAGCATACTTCTGAAGGCAATATGACTCTGGTATGTTTATATGTTGATGATATACTGCTGACTGGAAGTTCTGAACAGGAGATAACCAAGTTCAAGAAGGTTCTAATGAATGAATTTGAAATGACTGATCTAGGCAAAATGACATACTTTCTAGGGATGGAGTTCAGATATTCTGAGAAAGGTATCATTTTGCATCAACTCAAATATGAATTAGAACTTCTGAAGAGATTTGATCTGAAGAATTGTAAGATGGCTGTCACACCTTCTGATACAAATCAGAAACTGGATTCAGACTCTGAAGGAAAGGATGTGGACGCTACAACCTTCAAACAGTTGGTTGGTTCTCTGAGGTATCTGTGCAATACCAGACCTGATATTTGCTACTCAGTTGGGATGGTTAGTAGGTTCATGAGTAAACCTAAGTGGTCCCAATATCAAGCTGCTGTCAGGATTCTGAGGTATATCAAAGGAACTCTGAAGTATGGAGTGTTATTTCCCTCTGGAGGAAATAATGAGTCAGAACTTCTGAGTTATTCAGACTCTGATTGATGTTGAGACAGAGTTGACAGAAGAAGTACATCTGGGTACTTGTTCAAATTTCTGGGAGGTTCCATTTCTTGGTGTTCCAAGAAGCAACCTGTTGTGGCGTTGTCAACCTGTGAAGCTGAATACATTGCAGGTGCTGTTACTGCATGCCAAGCTGTGTGGATTCTGAATCTGTTGCAGGATCTGAAGATTAAAGTAAGCAAACCTTTGAAGTTGATGATTGGCAACAAGTCTGCAATCAACCTTGCCAGAAACCCAGTGCTGCATGGGAGAAGCAAGCATATTGAGACCAAGTATCATTTTCTGAGACATCAAGTTCAGAGTGGAGTGTTAGAAGTTGTACACTGCAGCACTCAGAAGCAGTTGGCAGATGTTCTGACGAAAGCTATCAAGACTGATCAATTTCTCAGATTAAGGGATGGAATTGGTGTTACAAGTTTTGATGGAATATGAATTAAGGGATGGTATTAGTAATAATTCATATTTTATTATATTACTTTCTTAAGCCCATAAGTTTGTTAGAGGGTATTTTAGTATTTTATCTTATTCTAGTAACCCTAGTTTTAGCTTATAAATAGGGTGACAATCATTGTAACTTTTAATCCTATTTTTCTGCCGTCATTCTTAATAGAATATTTCTACCTTTCATCATTTATTCTACCTTTGCACCAACAGTTTAGAGAAGATGAAGATAGTTATAAAAGTTTAGAAAACATTTTTAATAATCGATTTTTGAGTCGCTAAACTTATAAGGCACGAACAATTATATTTAATTAAAAAAAAATATGATTTTAGTTCTTTCAAAGATATTAATTTAAATCTTTTATGCAATTCATTCCTACTCATAACAAACAAAAAATAATTAAATTCTTCTTGTTCTCATTCTTTCCAACAATTCATTTGCCCAGCATCATTCACTAAACTTCAACACATAAAGATAAAAACACCATGGACAGAACTTGGGATGGAAAATTTTTATTTATATTAGCAATACAAAATATTGCATATTGGTTCAAGAAGCACAGAACATTGGAATGATATTGCACAGAAATTCCATAACATAAGCATTCCATGCAACCAGAGATGTAGTATACAAAACACAAAAGTCTACATAGCAACACAAGCATCAATTTCTTGATTGGTTGTTGGAAGAAGTTTAACCACAGTCCATTCCATTATAGTAGATTGTGACATGTGTATTACAACTCAGTCATGAGAACAGCCCTTCTAAATGATTATCCACGATCACAGAAACAAGATCAATGAATGCAGCTTCGCTTGTTCCAAGAAGCACAGCTTCTTCCGCTTTCTCAATAATCTGCTCAATGACAGACTTCTTCTTCGGTGTCTCTCTACACATAATGCTTCCAATAGTGAAAGGAGTGAGTCCTTTCTCTGCACCTTTCTGAAGAAGCATGGTTGATATACTAAGGATCCGCGCACATTCAGGAGGAAGTTCCCATCCATGAGACTTCAAAAGCTTAATATCTTCTTCTGCGTCTAGAGATTTTATGTACTCAATTGTGTCTGGGGAGTAAGGTTCTTGAGCTTGTGGCCAATATAACCAGTCAAAAGTGCAGTCTTCAAACTGCAAAACGCGCAAAACAACATCAGCTTAAATTATTTTGGCAGACAAAAAAAAAACAATTCATTCAGACTTACACTCTCAGGTAGGCAGTAGCCATGATCAATTGGAATAAGGACAGTTGGATCTTCTTCACCGTTCTTGGCAACCAAAATGTTCCCGGCATGTCTATCTGCATTTACCAACCTGATATCCAGCACAGAGATCTTGTGTACCTCTTCCACCGGAAATGCACCAGGGCCCATATCTTCACAGCTTCCAATGTTCCTCATAAACATCTGAAGTGATCCTATTTTAACATTACTTGAAACATTCTTGTAACCTTTAGGATGATGGAACCCTTCATGCATGCATTTGATCATAACTGTAGGCGGAACTCCAGCAAACCCTTGCTCCTCATTGTTATGATATGAGCGCGGTCCTTTCCTCGGATAATCCAAGATGTAAGCTGCAACTTCTCTCAACGCACCTTGCCCTACTCGTGTTCCTCTCTTTAACCCTTCACCATCCACAGAGATAGGTAAGCCCCGGGGATTATTAATCGCCATTGGCTCCTCATCGGTAGGCTTGAAAACTGAAACATACTTTAAGCCAGATGAATCATGCAAGAGATAAGCTCCGCCTGATCCCTCTGAAGATCGAATTGGCTTACGGCCTTTCTCTAACCCCTCTAATGTTATTTTAACTAGTTCCTGGATCAGTGGTGGAATTTTGATGTTGGAATTTTTAAAAACTGGTTCCAAAAGAAACTCACTACTCAACCGGTTCCTTTTCGGGAACTTAGTTGTTATAGACAGTGGCCCTAACTGGTCTGCAGCTAAATTTGGTACTGTATCAGGAGTAGAGGATGCCTCAATTGATAATTCAAACTCACGGACACATGATTTGTTATGAGCCAATTCCTTCCCTTCAAAAATCAGTTTCGATTTCTTTACAAAAAATCCTTTAAAGGTCTGAATTCTCAGCTTCACAGAAGCAATGGAATTCGTCTCCATAATATGCATGGGGATCATAGATCCACCAACAGTTAGGTAAATCAAAATTGAATCCCTAATATGAGGACTAAAACAACCGGTATATTCATCATTTTCATACATTGGACTAAGTGTCAAACAAGGCATTCTTAATTTACAGGTTCAAAATCTTGCTGGCTCAAAAATAAACAAGCTATGAACCTTGCCATTACTAGTAAAATCAAAACATCTCAACGAAACTTTCCCCTCTCCGTTTTCACGCTTTCACTCTTACTGTAAAAGTAGCTCATGCCTGGACCTAAGCAGTAAACAAGAACTGAAAAGCCTAAAATATGTAATGTACTAGTAGTTTCTTTCCAAAAATCATAGCTCAGAACCAAACCAAGATTTCTGGAAAAAAACTTTTTGACAAACTAAGATCCGCCGATCAAATCAAATGTCTATATTTGAATGGATATTTATAATACTATAAATTTTTACATCGCTGCAATACTTAATGCTATAGAAAATTTTAGAGAACAAGAGATTGCTTGCAAACCAGAGTCCGGTTACCCTACAACAACAAAAGCATGAGAGAATCTTCAGACAGAGAACATGAAAAATATTCAACAAGTTATAAATAAGAGATTATAATCAGTAAAATGTAAAATATCAAGTTTAATTTACATGGATTAGAAAACAATCAATCAGATTAATTTAATTTCATATCCATGAAGAAAAATCCAACTCAAGTAAACCCATAAATTGCATGTTTATTTCCATGCTTGTTAGTAGAGTCAAAAGAAACACACCGAAAAAGAAACATGAAATCAAATCATTATTTTCTAAATTTCAAATCAAAAACAATAGAAATAAGGTATTTTTCATGAATGTTCTTCATACCAAAACTTGCTACTACGATAAACAAGAATCCATAAAAGAAACTTCTAGAAAAAAAAAAAGAAAAGAAGAAGCTTACATAGAGAAAAAGAAGAAACTCAGGTAGGAAGACGGTGATAGGAGAAAGTTGAGAAACGAAAAAACATTCTACGTATCGGAAAATTTCTCAGATTCGACTCAGTGAGTCACCATAATGTGATTATCCATTGATGAAAAATGAAAGAAACAATGAGTGAGAACTGAGAAGAATCGCGGTTTTTTTTTATAATATGGCACTGTCTTGTGAGATTCTATGCTATATTTATAGCTATTGATTTTTTTTCTTGTCACGCAAGTTGAATACATTTTTCTTTTCATTTTTGTTTTGACGTAAGTACATGTATATTCATGATTGATTAGATTATTCCACATTTACTAACCTCCTCCCCAAGTAATATTCTCTCTAGATCCTAAACTTGTTTGGCAAACTTCTTTTTAAAAGTTTTATTATATACTTTATAAGCGTATATTGTTTATTAAGTTATGAGTCCGTTTGTTTTGTTTTTTTTTAAATAGTTTTTATAATAAAATATTATTTTGTGTAAAAAAGTTATATAAAATTTTTTTATAAAATCTTCAAATCAAAATTTGTGTTGATTAGTTATTTTTGAAATGTTATTTTAGATATTTCATCATTTTATTGAAATTTTTTAAACACATATATGTGCACGTGCACACGTAAATGCACACACACGCACACACACACACACATATCTTTAGTATGTAACATTCAGTTTCATTTGTCTAAAACAACACAAACATAACCTTAATGAAGAGTCCTAAACAAGATAGTCATAAATACATATCATCCTCAATATGAAGATGATATGCGTTTAGAATTCTAGTTTCTTCTTCAGAGTGTTGGTTCATCAATTCTGGAGTTCAACATGATGGAGCATTTTTATATTAGGGGTTTTTTCTTTAAGAGAAACACACCTTGTGAGAGACACACCACATATTCACTCAAACTGTAAGGTGATAATTGTGTGGATTCTCTCACTTATAAATACTTAAGTCTCTACTTTTATAATCAATGAGGGACTCCCTAACACTACTCACACTTGTTTTTCTCAACACTCTCCCTCAAGTGTGAGTTTATCCACAATGTTCCCCCTCAAGCGGAAGCTCTTTACACTTGTATTGTTGTTGACATTTTTCAATGGGCCACCTCCTACCTAGTAGGGAATTTCAATACAAGAGAGTCAGTACCTTCACTCGAACCAAAGGTTCATGATACCACTATTAGAGTCAATTCAGAGGTCAACACGAGGGAGTATTTTTACATTGGAGATTTTTCTTTAAGACCAATGTAAAAATGTTCCTTCGTGTTGAACCCCCGAATTGATGACTCAACAAGTGGTATATCAAAACCTGGTTGGCTCAGTAGGGGAGCAGAAGTGGTTACTGGCGTGGATCAATGCTAGTGATATGGGTGACTCACTTGTGGAGGAGATTGTTAGGTTTCAAGCGTGAAAGTGCTAATGTTCCACATCAATTAGGAATGGAGGAAATGTTGGGTTTATAAGAGAGGTGACTCATACCCCCATTTCCTTAAGGTTTTGGGTGGACATGTAGCATCAAGGTCTCATGGAATCATAAACGTTGGGCCGATTAACACTTTTAAGCCTTAATCCCTGGATTTCCCCAACAAGTGGTATCAGAGGCTAATTTTAATCCAGGGACCTATGGGTTATGGACCTATTGGAACATATGAAACAATTAGGGTTTCAAGAAGAAGATGAAAAAGAAAAAGAGTTAGAAGATAAAGTAGATAAAAGTATATTGAGAATATATATATATATATATATATATTTATATATATATATATATATATATATATATATATATATATATATATATATATATATATATATATATATATATATATATATATATATATATATATATATATATATATATATATATATATATATATATATATATACAGGCATCCAAGGTCCAAGTCCAAAACGTATAAGTTACATTTTGACTTCGACTTAACAACTATATGTTGTACTCGACTCTATCGAAAACAACTAAATTCACAACTACTTCAACTAGGTTATACAACCTTAGTCGAATACAAATTTCTACAAAACAATGAATTACAACTTCTAACGCACCCCCTAATTCATGTTTTCGATACTTTTCATCCAGACGCTTCTCTTCAACTCATTGAACCTGACTTTCTTCAAGAGTTTGGTGAGTTTGTCAGCTAGTTGTCATTCTGTCTTGCAGTGCTCAAGCTTAAGATTTCCTTTGCTTACTTGACCCCTAATAAAATGATATCTCCTTTATATGTGCTTACTTCCACCATGACACACTGAATGATCGCCAGGTCGATAGCTGACTTGTTATCGAAAAAACTTCCTTTTCTTAGGTTCCATTACCTTGAGCTATTCCGGAAGCATCTCTTTTCATGTTGCTTGACATGTTGCATATGATGCACCCACGTACTCATATCCAAAGGATGATAAGGCCATAATGCTTTGCTTTCTTGAACTCTGTGAGATTAGGGAACCTCTAATCACGAATATGTAACCTGTAATACTCTTCTTCTCGTCTTGATCTCCACTAAAATCTAAATTAGTGTAACCATATACCTATGCTTCTATGTTGGTCTTATTTTGACTTGGCATCAAAACACCATGATCAATCATACATTTGATGTATCTCGGCATTCTCTTGACTGCAATAAGATGACACTTTTAGGGTATCTCCATGAATCTGCTCAACAATTTGACACTATGACAAATGTTTGGCTTGGTATTGAAAAGATACCTTAAAGATCCAATGATTTTTTATACAATGCCACACTTACAAACTTACCATTTGTATCCTTCTTCAACCTCTTAAAGATGTCTTGAGAATACTTCTTTTGGTTCAAGATCACTCCTTCACTTGTGTCTTTGAATTTCATCCCTAAGAAATATGACAAATTCCCTAGGTCAAACATTTCAAACTCCTACGTTAGCTTCAACTTGACTCTTCTTACCTCTGTTCCATCTGCACTTATGATCAACAAATTATCTACATATAGGCATAAAATGATTCGTATGACCCTGTCAGCATCATTTACATACACTTCGTATTTTGAGACACATTTTGTGAAACCTGCTTCGACATTCTCTCATCTTGTGAATATTGAAGTTGATTATTAGGGTTTTGTGGTTATTTTCTCCTGTCACTAGGATTGTGGCAGAGAAGAATGTGAGTAGGTTATCATATTTATGAGGAGATTCTAAATAAAAAGTCATTGAGTAGTGTTAGGAAGGAAGAGACATTGAACAATATAGGGTTTGTTGTTGCTTGTAAGTCTAAATGTACTAAACTAGTAATAGAAAATTTCCTTTCTTAGGTTGTAGACTCAGCCCCCCAGACATAGGTGTAATTTCACTTAACTGGGTAAACAATTTGATTGTGTTCTTTATTACTTTTCTACTCAATCATCTATTACTAGTTAGTGTATTGTTTCTTTTGCATCTTGTCGCACCTGTTCTTAGAGCATCGTATTCGAAATTTGTTCCCTAAGGAACAAAATTTTAATTGGCATCAAAGCCGAAACCATAACGTGTTGGGTGAGCTCTAAGGAAGATAAATTATATTCAAATGGAGACAACTAAAGATGGAGGATCTGTCAACAAACCACCTATTTTGGATGACACAAACTACGATTACTAGAAGGTGATGATCGTGGCTTTTCTAAAATCCTTGAGAAACAAAGCATGGAAAGTTGTGATCAAGGGATGGAAACATCCAATTACTACCTCTAAAGATGGTACAACAACCAAAAACTAGAGGCTAATTGGACTGATGCTGAAGAAGATGAAGCCCTTAGGAACTTCATTGCACTGAATGCAATTTTCAATGGTGTGGAAAAGAACATGTTCAGGATGATCAACACATGTTCAGAAGCTAAAGAAGCATGCGAGATTCTAAAAACTGCACATGAAGGCAAATCCAAGATTCATATGTAAGATTGCAGCTCCTAACAATAAAATTTGAGAACCTGAGAATGAATGAAGATGAAACTGTGAGTGTTATGTCACATCAGATTGTGTGACATTGCCAACACATCCTTTGACTTAGGTGAAAAGATGTCTGAAGAAAAACTTACCAGTAAGATTCTCAGATCATTATCTAAGAGGTTTGATATGAAAGTGACTGCTAATGAAAAAGCTCAGAACCTAAGTAGTATGGAGGTTGATGAACTCGTTGGTTTCCTACAA